GAGACCAGCTGCTGGTCAAAAGCACACCAGGACAAGGAGTGTCAGAACTGTCGCCGGGTCTTGCCTCCTTGTGCTAGCCACAGCAGGCTGCTCAACTGAGACCCGCTTTTAGCAGCTCCTGCCTCTTCATGGCGGCAACAGCCTCTCACTTCAGGCTCTCTGTCCGTCGCTGGATTCTAGCTCGCGCTGTCTCCCTTCCCCATGGCTGCCCCGCAACAATGCGTGCGAGCCAACGTCTCGCGCCTGGCAGCCCAAGCAATGAATGCAAGAACCCATCCAGGAACAGCCCAGATGTTCCCAAGACAGCCCGGTGCAACTTGTGCGCCACAAGTGCAGCTGGAGCACGGCGGGAACGCCTATCGCAAGGAGCGCGATTCATGAAGTTCAGGAGTGCACAAACTGGATTTTGAATTCGGCGTCCCCGGCAAACGCGATGGCTGCGAAACTGTGGTCGTTTATCAGTTTATCTTCCCGCAATTGAAGGTCGGACAGCTGTAGCTTGCGAGGGTGGACAGAGGTTTCGTGATGAATGTGAAAGTCCAAGCGACAATTGTCTGTCGGGAACCTCTAAGCGAAAGAACTCGTGGACATGGCGGGTGCGCCAGCTGAAATCTGCCTATCGAGCAGAGCACCATCAGCTCTTTACCTCCCTCTCCCCCTCATCAGACGTCTGAGAAACAGCCACGAGCACGTCTCGGGGCTGCAGTTTGGTGACCTTTGGCGACTCTCTGTCCCGCGTCCATGTCGTCTGGCTCTAGCTGACTCTAGCTTCCCTAAATGCTCCGTCCCGGTGTCAGAGAGGAAGTTATAGTCATAGTCAAGTGATGCCCAGGTTGAAAGCGTTTTAGCCACGAATGGTTTTTAGTTTCCGAGGCTGTTGCGGGAGCGACTTTCTGCTTTCGAGGAAGAGAAGGCTGAATTCCGCCTGATCCTGCGAAGCTCGAGAGACTGCGACTCAGTTGCCACAACCCTATGTCCAGGCAACTTCCCTCCAAGCTCTGCGCGAGCAAGTGATGCTGCTTGCCAGCCAGTTACTCAGTCCTGATGCCTTAATTGGCGAGTGGCGCGCTCATGTCGGCAGCAAGCTGTGACCAGAATCCATGCGAAGATTGCAGTCGAGATTCAGACAAAACGAGAATTGCCCCTCGTCGCGCTATGTCACGCTCAGGAGAGAACTACGATCTCAAGCATGGAGTTCGCCAAGCCGAGGCGGTGATTATCGGTGATTCCTCACCCAAGCCCATCTGCAGCACGGCGTTCGGCATGACCAACATGCCATGCTTGAGCAACACGGTGAAGTTGGCGATTTGCGAAGTTTGATGTGCATGCATGGAAGGCACCCCTCGTGGAAGCCAAGGAGCATCGTTTGTTGGTATTGCGGTGGGGAGCCATGTTCTGTCTTGCGTGGAAGGCTTGTGAGACACCAGTTGAACTCCGGAAGGTTTATAATGATGCGGCAAGGTCGTAAGGTCAAGCGGTACGTTGGCATCATTGGCATCCTTCGATTCTTTCCAGGAGGTGCCTGCCGGCGCGGGAGCTGCATCCGAAGGCGCCCAGCACATGCTCTCGTTTTCGCCTCTCCGTCTGTGACTGTGTCTGAATCCAAGTCGGAGAAGCGCAAAGAAGTATGTGGAAAGAAGAACAAAAGCCTGCAGGCCTCCAGACCCGACGATTCTGCCAATCAGGTCACAGACAACTGACCAAAGAAGACCAGGAAGCGCAGGAAGCGGCTTCATCTGCTCCACCCGTCACTTCGGCAATGATGCCCGCTGAGAAGCCATACCCACTTTGCCGAATCAAACAACAACAACAACGTCAAACACACTATGCTTGTCCACTCCTGAATTTCAGTGTTCGCGACATGAAAGCCATAGTCGCACGGCGAACTTAGGACAGGTTGTGTAGTTCGACTATGTGACTAGCCGAGCTCTGGCAGAGAATATGTGGTACCTGTACCTGTGCCAATCCATATCTTGCAGGTGACCAGAGGTGGTGGCAATGCCGGCTCGAGCTTGCTGATACTTCTGAGGGAGAGCTCAAGATGAAATTCGGATCAATGTGCTTGAAGAGCGAAGCCATAGCACGTGTCACATACGCTAAGCTTCCGACATCATTTCCTGCCAGGCTGTCCGCCATCTTTTCTCCGTTCTTGACTGCCTCGGCCCCGGGCATGCAAGCTCCAGAATCCGTGTCGATCCGTCGGGTGCTTCCGAGGAAGGAGACATGCGTGAAATCCATGCGCAGCTTGGGACTCAGTCGCAGCTTCGCAGTCCCCGAGGACAGCATGGAGAGCGCAGCTGCGCTGCTTAGGTCTCGCTTGGACGAAGCCGACGGCCGAAACGAGGGCTGATCCGATTGCTTCTTCAAGCCAGTCACAGCAAGCCATTCTCCTGTGTCACTCCCTTTGTGTGACATTTAGTTCCTGACTTTGTGACCGCATTTGCTCGGGCAAAACAAGCTGGACTCCTATGCAGAGAGTTGTGTGCACTAGTCACTATATTAAGTGCAGTTGCATGCATCAGCCATGGACGAAGTTAAGAGTCTCTGGATCACAGGACATCCGCAATCGCTCCTTGCGCCCTGGCGGCTTTTTCGATTCCTGGGACTTCCGGACATGTGCAGCTGCGGGCTTATACATTGCACAGGATACCAGCTCAAGACCGGTTTGTTGCAAGCTGCTTGAAGCCCAAGCTCCTGCCGGTCTGCTTTTCTTCATGCCTCTGCGTATGCACGCGAACCCGCCATGCACGTTTGTACTTGCTTACGTCGTTGCACATGCACAGGCGTGCACCAGACATGCATATTCATGGCATAATCTGTGTACAAATCTAAATTCTATCCAGTCTATACATGTAAATTTAATATAATTATACATATGTGTGTATGATACATATATATATGTATATATATGTATATGTATATGTATATATATATATAACAAAGAAATATGTATACCCATAATGATGCGTCGAAACCTGCGTGCTTACATGATACCAGTATTAGTACATACACATGTCCATGTGCAGAGTTTCGTTGTGGACATGACACTTTCTCCAATTTGCGCGGGTGCATGCTTGCATGCTTGCATGCCTGCCTGCCTGACTGCCTGCATGCATGCATGCATGCATGCATGCATGCATGCGCGCATCCATATGAGGCGCCCGTTTCTCGCCTCTAGTAACTCATTCACGATATTGACAGGTGCATGTTTCTCTGGGTCCATTCCCATGCCAAGTTCCTTGTGCATATGTTTATGTGTCCAGTGTGTTGCTCAGGAAGAAAACTCAATCCATTTGGCTTGATTAATCGCTTCTCCCTTTCATCAAACACCCCCCTATAAGTATAAAAACGCACTGGGGCGAATCCTACCGAAATCATCCCTGCCCTTTGAAACCTATTTTGAATTGGGGGAGGGTTTCGAGGCTCCAAATACCCTTGGAGCACAGCAAGAGCCCAAATCAAAAGCACGAGCAGGAGTTAGAGCAAGAACAGGAGCACGAGCAAAAGCAAAAGCGGAGCACCAGCAAGAGCAAAACAAGACCAAGAGCGGGAGTAAGAGCAAGAGCAGGAGCAAAAGCGGGAGCAACAGCAAAAGCAGCAGGAGCAGGCGCCGGAGACACAGCAGAAGAAGGAGCAAGAGCACGACCCCGCAACAGTAGCAGTAGAGATAAACTTACCCCTTAACAATAAAAACACTTTCCGAGGTTTTTATTGGAGGGGCGGGGGGGGGCTCCCGTTTAATATTACCTGGAAGGGATTAGTCAAGGTCTTGAAGTTGGTGTTCACTCTTGAAGAACAGGAGTCGGCTCGAGAGAGGAGCAGTGAACACATGCCTTCCCGCCCTCCCCAACAAAGACATCCACCCCACCTCACAGGGGACTCGGTTGCGGTCCTCTGGCTGTGCAGGCTGGATCTCCATGTGCTTGGCGGCGGGTGGGCGATCGCATCGTGAGAACTGTGGAATTTCGTGGTCGCTTATACGCGTTGAGCATCTCTGCTCGCGCACCGATAGCTATGACCGTCACAAGGCTAGAGTTCGGTTAAAGTGATGCCGGGTGGGCCAGTTTCGGCATGATCGTGAGTGACTTGCTCAAAGACGTCGAGCACGCTCCGTCTCTGACAGAGCACTTGTATGACCTTGTGACATGCAAATCTCCAGCCGGAACCTGCGACCGTGACGGGTAAACTGCGCGTGGTTGTGCGCCAAGCAGAGGAACTCCGCCACAACGAATCTTTTGAAGGTGACGGCAAGTAAACTTGCGGAATCCATAGAGTGTGGGGCTGGTAAGCTGATCCGCACGAGACGGAGCAGGCCGTACCTTACGAGAGCGTTGTGCTGCGTATTGTTGCGTATCATAGAATCCGGAGAACGTAGCATCATCTGTCTTTCGTGTTCGTGCCAGTGCCAGTGCTGAATCTAAGGCTGCTAGGCTTCGTAAGCGATTGGACTAGGTTGCGGTGTTGGGTGGCAGGGTAGGAAACACCATGCACAGCCAGCAAGGAGTCTCTGCGTGACTCATGAGAGGAACCATCCCCGGCTGGACTTCTGCATGAACTTGACCAACTCCGCGTAATTGTGTGCTGGGTTCTGCTATCGCACATGTGAAGTCTCCTCTTCCTGTTCCTGATCAAGACTGTTCCTGCAGTGCCTGCAGTTGTACGATGTTTCCAGCCTGCTTGTGCGCGGTCATAGTGCGGTGGTGTCCACGTAGGAAAGACATGTCAATGTCCTTCGTTGCTCCGAATTGAGGTTGTCGCATTCCTGTTTGTGGATGCTTGGGTGTCGAACCTGTTGCTCAAGGACGCCAGCCTCGCGCAGCTACGTTGAATTGAGAGTAAATTTGTTTGCGTGACTGGGTTACCGACAGCACCCAGCATTGAATTGTGAGCTTTTGGAAGCCTGTCGAGGAGTTCTCTGGCGTGACCAGGGGCATCTGCAAAGCCGCATCCGTGGCAATCGTGTACCTTCCTGTTTTCATGTAGACATCGCTCATGTAGACTCGCCCGAGCCGTTGCCTTGCTCGATGTGCACGCTGTTGCACAGCGATGCAATCACGTCTCGATAGCAGACGCCGGCTTGGAATTCAGATTTAGCTGAAGAAGCTTCACCAGTCGGTGCAACACCGGAAACAAGGCGCTTGAAAGCCTAAAGCCAAAAACGTGCACATCTGTTAACTTGCCGTCACGTGCACGTGGACGCACATCGTGGGCCGCACATGGCATTCCTGCGGCGCCAATCGGCCGAGGGCGGTGCATCTTGGAGGGATGTACTCTGCACAGCATCACCCTCCGTGGATGAGGCAAGCACCATTGCAGCTGACATTATGTGGTCGGATATGCATGCTGTTCAATGGCCTGCATCAAGACGGCCAGCAATGCTACATGAATGCAGCTTGCGAGTGCAGATGCATCATACAGTAGCAGTTGGATCGCATTGCTTCACAACGCTTTGCCTGGTGTGACATCAGACGCGTCGCATTCGCAGGCTGGTTTTCTGGCAGGACCATGGGGCGAGTGCCTGACAGAGGCCACCGGCTGGTGCAAGAAAGAGCGGCTTTGTCTAAGTCGCATGGAGGCGACAGTCCGCGAACACACCGAGTCCAATCAGGGTCAGGCTGGACAGGCCGGCAGCCCGCGCGCTAACACTCAGGAGAGACTCCTCACTCCTCTTAAAAAAGGTCATCGACTTCCTGGTCAGCTGCGGCCATCGTCACTTCGTAAAGGCTGCAGATAAGCTCGAAAGGCGGGTAGGCGCTAGCAGCTAGTGCTGATTTTGCCTTCTTCTGATGTGGCAGGGCAACGCACAAGGCAATGCGAAACGGGGGAATTCAGGCCTGTCCACCTGCAGCAAAGGATCCTGAGGCCGAGAAAACGTGATGACAATGTCATTAGATTCACTATGCCTTCAGATGCTTCAGATGTTCAGTTGCTGCACTCCGAAGGTCTGGAGGCTTGCGGGACGGGGCATCTCCCAGGCAGGACACGCAGTTGTTGAGTGTCGTCATGCAACGTCGAGGGTGTTACAGTAACGTACTTCTATCACAGCAAGAGTCCACACTGTTCATGCACATTGTACTCGTTCATTTGCCCATCGATGTGGATTTTGCTGCAGACTTCTCAACCACTCCAAGCACAAACTGCACGCCCAGCCGGGTACACAGTACCTTTGAGGCAGGGCGTTGGCCTAGCCGTGGCTGCATGCGTAGACGTTCATGCTGACTTGCTTCTTGCGTCACGGGAAGTAAATGATAGTGAATTGACAGGAATCTGTGATTCCGGTTGATGCCCTAGACTCTAGTCGACGTCTTAACGAAACCTACTGTAGTGGGGCGAGTATTAGTATGCGGTGTCTTCGGTGCCAGCTAGGGCAAGGCCGGATTGTTTCCCCTCAATGTTGCTTGAAAACTCAAGGCTCTGGAAGTAGGAGGGCAACACTCTACTCCTTGGTGTGGTCTCGAAGTCCCCCGGTTCTGAGTCGTGCTCCTGCCACAGTCCAGGCGCACTTCGGGTGGGAGGCTTGATTTCGCCGCATTGCATGTTCTGGAGTGCCAATCGTGGCTCTTGGGAGATCTTGGGAGTCTGGGTGCTCCTGGAGTGGTTCTTGGGACTCGAGGTGTTCCTTCCACTGATTGGGATCGACGCTGCCAGACTTGTACTTCTGTGGGGGAAGAAGTGATGGTGCTGAAGTGGTGGTGATGGTGGTGGTGGTCGTGGAGGTGGTGGTGGTCGCAAAACTGGTAGTTTGATCGAATTCCTCCAGGAGATCGTATATGGCCGGAAACAGAGACTGCAATCGTCGCAACCCGAACTGCATGCTTTACTCCACCTTGTCCTTTTAAAGCACTTTTAACATCGCGCAAGCTTATCCGTATCCCTTTGATCCTGGAAGGTCGGGATATCCAACAGGAAACAGATCGTGCAGCTCCAGCAGCTCAAGCTCAAGATCGAGCTCAAGCTCAAGTTCGAGCTCGAGCTCGAGCTCGAGCTCAAGAAGCAGCTCCAGAGGCGCGCGCTGACTTGCGCACAGGCAGTCGCGCAGCTTCCTGAATCTTTACGCTTTGCCAGTGTTTTTAAACGACCATCATTCGAAGTGAGAACCGCAGACAGTGGTCGAAGTTCTATCATCGTACCTCAGGTCTTGATCCTGAGACCAAAGCAATTTGCCGGAGTGCGCCGCAGAACGGCAGGACATCAGTGCGACCGTGTTGGATCGAGAAAGCTGTTCTTGGCTTTCACATACTGGGATATGTTCGCCTTGTTACTATACTGGCAGTTCAGGAATCACACGATGCAATCGTACTCTTGGTTGTTGACTGTGTGCCTGGACATGTGCCAAACTGTCTTGCGTGC